TGAATTTCGTGCACCGGGCCCCTAGTATATATATAAAAGGCTAAGTTGACTAGCGCATGCGTGATACATATCAAGCTCTTGTGCCAATCACATGCACGTGTTTCGATTTGTCATTGTCGATTGTGAATTTGGTTGACAATTCTTGGTTCACAAAATACCACATGCGGGCGCGCACGTACAATGCGATTGAAACTTCGTGGCCCATGCGCAGAAGTTGGTATTTTGTGGAAGAGCCACACTCAAGGGGCCAAAGAGCCGCATGTGGCTCGCGTGCCGCAGTTTGCCGACCACTGCACTAGTATGGTATATGTGAGAATCTAATGTGTTTACTCTATGTGGGGACCTTCTAATGCACATTAAATAGTTGATTGACTTCTCCCCTTCCCCCACATGTAGAGAAAATGCTAGGATATACAAATTAGAGTCTAGTTTTCCTTTACTAATGTCATTCTTTACCTATGCCATTAGTCAAGGTGCTGTTGATATCTATATATATAAAAGGCTAATATGCAAAGTGTCCCTTCGGGAGTTCCACTGGGAGAATAGGAGCTCGATCGCTTGCTATGATGTTTGCTGACCACCAGGGGGTGGTGCAGAACATGGCGGGTGATCAGTGGCCGCGGCGGGGTGCTGAGGGAGTGAGGGAAGGAGGCGGCGGGAGGCTGGGGGAACTGTGTGGTGGAGGCGCGTGGGTAGCGAGGGAAGGAGGAGGTGGGGAGGCGGGGAACTTGATTGGCCGTGATCGCCGGCCAGGCCTAGATACCCTACCTGTGCACGAATTTTATGCACCAGGCCTCTAGTAGAAAATAATACAAAATAATCTGCTTTTCTCTTAACAGGGATGGTGGCCTGCGTTTTGGTGAAATGGAACGAGACTGTCAGATTGCCCATGGGGCAGCCCAGTTCTTAAGGGAGAGACTGTTTGAGGCATCAGATCCATATCAGGTTCATGTTTGCAATCTTTGTGGAATAATGGCGATTGCTAACACCAGGACCCATACGTACGAATGCAGGGGCTGTCGGAATAAGACCCAGGTGTGTATAGACTTTCTGGCCAGTTGATAACTGTTGAGGATATAACTATGTTGGGCTAATTACCCAGGCAGATTTAGTGTGATGGAACAGATTGGCATTTTCACAATTTTGAATAGCATGCCTCTGTAAGATTCCTAGTTTTAAATGAGAAAAACAAAATTTGATTTTTCTCTAAAAATCAGTTTAAACTTTACTGTGGTAATATTGCTAAGCTGTTCATTTTTTTCGAAAAGGCCTTGTACAAGAAATTTTTAAAAGTGGGTTTTTAAAAAGCCTTTTGCTTCAGGAGGGTGCTTATGTCTGGCAGAAAGGGTCAAATACCAAAGCCTACTCGGAGAAAGAATCACCTTGGGCCAAGTTAGTAGAATGAGTTGTATCAGCCTATCCTTTTGTTTATCTTCAGCACCAAGTCTTTACCTTTTTCTGGGCTAGGGAAGTGGGCTCATTTCAGTATAACTTTGCTAATTACTTTCTTTTTCTTTCTTTCAGATTTCTTTGGTGCGAATGCCTTATGCGTGCAAACTGTTGTTTCAAGAGCTTATGTCTATGAGTATTGCGCCTCGAATGATGAGTGTTTAGCTCTTTTAAAAGATTCTCAACAAGACACTTATCAATGCCTTTTGTGTCTTTTTATGATAACGACTTTTAAAAATAACAAATATGTGTTACATTGTGACAAAAAGCATTTTATTTGTTTTGTTTGATGATATGCATGCTTTTCTTCTGTAAACAGGTAATAAATTTTTGTAGATAGTCTTGATGTGTTATCTCTGTGTAAAGTCGGTGAATATAACAAAGGTGTTAGTGGACTGGATGAAAAGAAACTGGTTATTAGGCAAGAACAGGGTAGTAGTTATCCATGACTATGTTTAGCTATGCAGACTAATATATTCTTCAGGTTTATAGCTTGGCACTTTCACCTGTTTAAAAAAAAGAAAAAAAATTAGTTACATATATGTACATGGTTGACTTTCTAATTTTTAGGTGGCTTAGTGTTTCCAAATAAATGATGTTAAAATGTGGGGGATAAAGGATATGTAACTGCATAGATCAGTGATGGCGAACCTTTTGAGCTTGGCATGTCAGCATTTTGAAAAACCCTAACTTAACTCTGGTGCCGTGTCGCATATAGAAATTTTTTGATATTTGCAACCATAGTAAAACAAAGATTTATATTTTTGATATTTATTTTATATATTTAAATGCCATTTAACAAAGAAAAATCAACCAAAAAAATGAGTTCGCCTGTCACCTCTGACACGCGTGTCATAGGTTCGCCATCACTGGCATAGATGATAGATGGTGGAGTGCTCTTTAGAATTTGAGCTGTACAATTTTGAATGTGGAAGGCGATTTTGTCGTATTGGTCTGTGTGTAAGAGATGGACTTTTTTTTTTTTTTTAAGAGAGGAAGTGAGAGGGAGAGAAACATCAGTGATGAGAGAGAATTATTGATCGGCTGCCTCCTGCACGCCCCCTACTGGAGATTTAGCTCGCAACCCGGGCATGTGCCCTTGACTGGAATCAAACCTGGGACCCTTCAGTCCGCAGGCCGATCTATTCACTGAGCCAAACCAGCCAGGGCAAGAGATGGACTTTATAGAACTGGCAGAGCACATTCACAAACCACCAAGTTGAGATCCAGAGAGGCTAAGGACCTTTCCTTTGTCATCCAGCTGTCATTCAAAATTTAAAGTGGAATAATTAGTGGCAGAGCTGAGACTCAAACACATGACTCTTAGCTGTTGCTCTGTTTCATCTCCTGGCTTTACACATCTTGGCTGTAGAGAATCTGATCAAACATCTTTTACTTGATATTTCTTCCTTTCATACCACAGATGAGTGATCCACACAGAGGAATGGTTTGACAAATGCTGATAATAAATTTTGTTTTTATTTTTGGTTTAAGGAAAAGTCAATCCAGACATCAGTCTAATAGAACTATATAAATGTAAAGTAGTATCATTCTGACACTACCAGGATGGGTGCTTAAGAGGAAGCTTTGACACGAGAGTGGATAGAGGCAGAACAGAGTTGGGTACTTGCCAATATACTCTCTTTTCTGGCTTTTTAAAATACGAGCTCAAAGGGAAGTACCCACAATCATTTCCTTTTAAATGGGAATTTAATATAATAGTCACAACACAAAGGAAAAATGCCATGTGGATAGATAGTCATGGGAAATAGAAGCCATCCCAGTCAAGTTTGAGTTTTTGTCTCATGTATAAGGTGAAAGAATCTAAGTTTACTGTAATAACAGCATTCCATCAACTGCCCGGATGTACTTCTGGAGCTGTGTGCTCTACATTTTGATTATACACTTAATGCCCCTGTGGATTCCTGACATTACAGAATTTCATTAAGGGCTGTCAGATACTTTCTAACTTGGTTCTGTTCTTTATTAAGCAAAAGCACTAGTTCTTAAGTGGCTGAGATTTAGTACCTACCTTTAGTCACTGGTATTTCATGTATGCTGTCTACCACTGTAATTTTTGCTGATGCTGAAGCTTGTCCTTGAGAGTTGGATGCATGGCACTCATATTCTCCAGCATCTTCCTTACTGAGTGGAGATAACTGTGAATGGAAAAGAATCTTTAGTGCCTCTATGCTGGTCCTCTCTTTTCCTAGTGGTCTCAATGAAGTCGTTATAAGTTTCCTGTGATGACCAAGGAATTCACAGCAAAGATACTGCTAGAAATAGTGCAAGTCCCATGCTAGGAGAATTACACAACTACCGGATTTGGTTTGCTGGGGAGATGCGTACTCTGAGGAAATGTTACCGACAACTTTCGGTCACATTGCAGAGGTTAACAACTGGAGAGGTGCACACGACAGTTGGAGGAAGACCTTGATAGGGTGGGTGTATGATCTCAGTACTACACAGTGAGTATCTACAACTATCGAAGGTCAAGTAAAATAACTATTAATCAGTACTTGATTAAAGTACTTAATGCGTGGATCAGGTCTGTGATCATTTTGCTTTGAAGTAGAGGAAAAAAAATTAGTTCTTATTTGTTGGTCATTTTTAAACATCCAATGAACTTCAGCTGTTTTCAGCTGCGTCTGAAAGTGGAGCAGCAGCTCCGTGTGAGTGCTTCCAGCCGGGCAGTGCACCGGGCATCTCTGCCAGGTCCGCGGTGTCCAATTCCAACAACGAGAGCCTGGCCAGCTCCTGCTACTCACCAGCACCCAGCCAGTTACTTCGTGCTTTTCTGGGCCACCTCGGGTCTGAATGGCCAGGTTGTCCCGGTCACCAGGCAAGAGTTCTGTCCTGTGAAATCTATTATCGTCCTTTTTTACCTGCAAAAAAGAGGGAAATCGTCTCTGCATTCTCTGCACTGAATCATCAACTTGGAAGAGGCCACGTTTCTATAATTGCACGAGGAGTACATCAGACTTTTTAACTGGGTTAAAACTAGCAATTTTCATATTTTTCCTGAATAGGTACATGAAAGATCCTCATCCTGTCAGTTTCCCTCCCTATGTTTTAAGTTATACAACCTCACATGTATGAATGTACTTTTCTGCATGCTTGGGGAACACACATCATGTTCTCCTGCCCCGGGACACCATCATTTACTCACGCCCTTACACATTCTGCTGCTCTGCTGGGCCTTTCCTTGCTTGCCAAGACATGTTTGAGCGGCAAACGGTATCGCCCAGTGCTAGGTAGGTTTGGTGCTTGGGACCTTCTGCAGGAGCCCAGGTGCAGGGGTTCTTTCTGCAACAGCCTCATTAGTGAAAAACAGTAGGTTGAGTTAAATACCAATTCTTTGAGGGCTAAGGATTCACCAAGTATTTACTAAAGTCCTGAGAACAAAAACGCCTGTCAAACAAATGTCTATGTCATTCTCATGACAAAACTTCCTGTCTATCCCTGTGCATCTCAGGAGAGTCAGGATGGGTTAAGAAATTCCGTTTCCTTGGTTTGAGGCAAACAGTAAACACTGTCTTAACTTTCCCCCCTTTTTATAAAGGCAAACTATGGCCCAGGCCGGGTGGCTCATTTGTTTAGAGTGTCGTCCCATGAACCAAAAGATTGAGGGTTCGATTCCCAGTCAGGGCACACACCTAGGTTGTGGGTTAATATCACAAGGTAACTACTGATCAGGAAGTCACAGACCACTCATCAGGCTGTGACCACCATAGAAGTGCTGTTGCCTGGTGTTGGGAGAGAAGGTGTGTCCTGTTAGTTCGGGTGTTGCTGAGATCCTTGAGCATGAAAGACATGCCACCTTTACACCTCATATTCTATTACTCATTTATACCCACAAACCAGTTCCGTGCTTAAAGTGGAGTGGACATGGGAATGCATAGGAAGCCTGTATTCTCAGCAGTTTGGTACAAGGACAGTGGGGAGAAAACAAATGTCCTGTTTAATTATTTAAGTCATGACTTTTAAAGTGAATTGACATGGGCCAAAGTAAGAAACACATTTTGCATTGTGATGTGGAACATACAAAAGGAAGGTTTTAGGAAATGATACCTTTACTAAATGTGATGCCATAAGATATTTTCTGTCCTATTTTTTATTTTTAAGAAACTGCAGGCTGTGATTCCTACATTACACTCAGAACTCACTGGTGGTTCGTGATCTGCAGGTTGAAACAACTGCTTTATGCCACCCATGTGGCAAATTACACGATGAAGGCAGAGGAAAATCAGCAGAGCCTAGCAGCTGCGTTTTTGCTTGTTTCTGGCAAGTTTGTAGAAAATTATTTTTTTCCTGTCCCCCAACTTCCCTCCCCCAAGTTGACAAGCCCTAAGGAAGCCCGTGGGATCTGCCCCACACAGTCCCAGAAGCTTAAAGGAAAATATTCCCCGGGCAGATTTATTCCCCTGGTGTGTGTACGCCAGCTGGGAAGGGGCAGAGAAAGGGCTGAAGAAATTACTCGCTGCCAGATTTGTCAATAGGTCACAGGCCTTGGACACTTGGGTCACCCTGGCTTCCACTGTGTAGTCCCTAGAGCGCTGCAGAGCTTTGTATGGACATTCTTTGGAAATATTGTTTCTCCACCTCTCACTCCGCAGCAAACCAGTAGCCTCCAAACAAGCAAGGAGGAGCGGCAGCAGCTTTCACCATGAAGGCCAGAAGGTACACACCCATCAGCTGCATTTTTGCTCTTAATTGCTTCCCACTCCCTTTAAAAAAATAACTTATTGAGGTGAAAGAATTTCGCTGCTTCCTTTAACAGCAATTTCAGCTGCAAAGGATAGTTGTAATGCAGCTAGCTGGTGCTGTCTCTGCCCACCCCCAGGCATTTTCTGGAAAAAAACGCTGCCTTCATTCCCACCAGAGGGCCCGATGGGGGCGATGCGGCCTTCTGGCCACATGGAGGCGCCAGAGGTTGGCAGGTGACCCAATGTGAACCAAGGTCCTACAGGGGGAATTTTACAAACGCACTAGAGAGAGTGGAACAAAATTTCCTCTGGGATCATTAAGCCGTGATAATGTGAACTTGGAGCTGCCAGTGACTATATCGCTCACAGTGTGGAGGAAGCTTTCTGAGGTGGAAGAAAAGAATAAGACCAGTACATTGGGAGCAGAGTCAAGAGCCAGGAGGCTAGGCACATTGTATCTGGATCCAGCTGCCCTTGAAACTGGAATCACCACCCACTCGACCTCCATTATTTTTGCCTAGACTAGTTTGAAGTGAGTTCTACAACTTGCAACAAAAAAGAGTTCTGGTGCCAAAATCCCTCCCAGAGTTCCAGAAACTGCTCCTCTGGTCAGACACCAAGCCAACAAAATAATCAAGAGACCATCATCCATCTTAGAACTTGCTGGAGAAGTAAACCTGCTACAAATAAGTGTCTGGTTATGCCTTTTTACTGAAATAGATTTCCTGTTTGTTTGCACTAGTCTGATGATATGTACTTAATAGGATTTTTGTGGGGGGTGCTAAAAATGAGTCAAAATATACAAACAGGGAAACATAAAATACTGTACAGTGCAATCGTTAAGTATTATTTGACCTGGCAAATAGTTTCCCTTCTACAGACATGCTGAGAATATGTTGTCCTTCAAATTGGAAGATAGTTACACAAAAAAATACCACCTGAAGGGAAACATTTCCAGGAATAGTAGCTAACAAGCAGTGCCAACTACATATCTGACAAGCCAAGTGATTTTACCTGCTTTATGTCATCTTTTCAAGAATTATAAGCTACTTTCATGACACAGAGGAGGAAACAGAGGCTTAGAGCAATGGCTCTCAATCTAGGTAATTTCCCCCCAGGGGACATTTGGCAATGTCCGTAGACCTGTGTGAGTGTCACACTGAGGGAATGGGTACTACTGGCATGTAATGGGTAGAGGCCAGGGATACTGCTGAACACCTTACAAGGCACAGGGCAGCCCCCACAACACAGAATGATCTGTTTCAAAATATCAACAGTGCTTGAGGCTAAGAAACCCTGACTTAGAGAGAACTCAGCCAACCTGGCTAAGGAATTCACCCCCCAATGGGGACACACACACCCCCATGCACGCACATGCTGACACTCCTACTGAAGCACAGGCATGCTCACACAGGCACACACATGCACACCGAGGGCGAGTTTGGGTGTCAGCATTATAGTTTCCCAGTTCCTAAGGCTCCCTAACAAAAGCAGAGCAGGGGCTATTTGGTGGTCATTAAAAATGTTGGTTAGATCCCAGGGACGTATCTAGAAGATTGCCATAAGGTTTCATGGAGGAGCAGCAGGCAATGGAACCGGCTGAGGATTTTAGGTTAGTACCGTCCTTGTGCAGTGAGAGAGGATATGTTCTTAAAATCTGTGTCACTGACCTTGTTCCAGATGAGGACAGGGGTTGGGATTCCAATGACCTCACAGCTCAAGTACACCTTGGCACCAGTGACATTCCAGATGTTCTTGGGGGGGGTCACAATGGAAGGACCTACAAGAGAGGGCACAAAGCCAAATAAATTTTTTTAAAACAATCTTTAGCGTCAGTCAGCATGCTAGGAGATCAATACTTGATTTTGTTTATGACACTGTCCCCTCTGTGAATTATCTGAAGCAAATTTCAAAGACCAGACTGGCATCCCTTGGCCACCAGCATGACTTTAAGCTATGCTTTGAGAATGTGTACATCTAGACAAAAACAAAAAATAAGTAGGAAGAAAATTTTATTGTTTTTAAGATTTTCTACTCTCTCAAGTCATGCTTAAATGAGTTTGAATTTACCAGCTGTTTTGCATTATCTGGGTCTTTCCAATTAATATAGTGAAGATTTAGTTCCAAAATGTTCCACGTTTTTCTTTCTTGTTTACCAGTATTTTTAGTTATGGGGGGCAGCAACATAAAACAATCTACGAAGATATTTGAAATTGTGTTGAGTACCCTGAAAAGATGGTAGGTAGTCCCTGCCTTAAGAAGCTTGGGATCTGAGGTTGGCGAGTCAGTGGTGATAAGGCAGGGATGGTAACTTTCATCAGAGATCAACATGAGGAGCTGTGTGCCCTGGGAGACACTTTTGAACAGAAGTGGCCTGAGTGTTAAGGAAGAAGGTGGAAGGAGGAGGCAGTGGGTAAAAGAGAAGCAGTGACAGATCTACTGTGTGTGACCAAGGCCCCCAAGGAGAGGGCTCTTTTTAGGATTCTCAGTTTCCAGGTCACTGGCAGTGGGCGTGGGCAAGTGGGGGCACCTGTGGAAAGCATTGTCTGATTTGAGTCCTGGGTATGGGACCACCAGGGAGAGCCCAGAGTGACACCTCCTATCCCCTCAATCCTGGCACACATCCCTCGCCTTCTCTATCATATCCCCTCCAGTAAGAAGGTCCTTAGCAGCAACAACAACGTATTCATCCTTTTTGTGACAGAAGAGGTCTTGGGGTTGGCAAACTCTGGCCTGTGGGCCAAATCTATCCTGTTACTTGTTTCTATATGGCTTGTGAGTGGTCTTTACATCTTTAAGTGGTTGGGGGAAAAAAAGAATCCTATATAATAAAAGCATAATATGCAAATTGACCAGAAGGCCGAACAGCGGAATGACTATCCGGATGACCATCTGGACGACCATCCAGATGATTATCTGGGACCACGCTATGACACCCACTGGCGCCAGGCCAGCCAAGGCAGTGTGATGTGATTGGTTGGGGGCCTGGCCATCACCCCATGATTGCCCCACAGAGGGAGGCCCAGGCCACCGACCAGTGGACTGTAGCAGGTGGGCGGGGCCTCTCTCTGCGAGAGAAGCACAAGTCCCAGGTGCCAGAGGGAATTTGGTGCCAGCAGCCAGGGGAAGGCAGGCCTACTCTTGCATGAATTTCGTGCATCAGGCTTCTAGTATTTCCTAATGTGAAAAATTTAAGAAATTTACAGTTCATTGTCCATAAAATAAAATGTTATTAGGCCCTGGCCGATTTAGCTCAGTGGATAGAGTATCGGCCTGCGGACTGAAGGGTCCCATGTTCAATTCCGGTCAAGGGCACATGCCCGGGTTAAAGGCTCAATCCCCAGTTGGGGGCATGCAGGAGGCAGCCAATCAATAATTCTTTCTCATCATTGATGTTTCTATCTCTCCCTCTCCCTTCCTCTGAAAATATATTTTAAAAAATGTTATTGGAACACAGCCATGCCTAGAGTGGAGCATTTGTGGCAAAGACTGTATGGCCTAAAGTATTTACCATTTGGCTCTACAGAGAAGATAGTGCTGATCCCTGCTCTAATCAACTGAGAGGCAACCAAACCTAGGTAAGACATTAGGGGAAAGTCTCAGGACCTCAATGCGCTCCATGTTACCCAGAGCAGATGCAAGTAAACCCAGTGGATGATTTCTGGTCCAGCTCTGAAATGCAACACCTTTTTATTTAAAATTTATTTTTTATTGATTATAGAAAGAGAAGAAGGTGTGTGTGTGGGGGGAGAAACAAGATTTATTGTTCCCCTTATTTATGCAGTCATTGATAGGTTCTTATTGCGCCCTAACGGGGGTTCGGACCCACAACCTTGGCATATCAGGACCACATTCTAACCAGCTGAGCTCTCTGCCAGGGTAAAATGCAATGCTTTTGAAGCCAACAGATACTGAAAGATCTGTACTCCCTGCTCTTTTCTGCTGAGGTGCCAGCTCCCCAACATCTGCAGCAGGAGAGACATGCACACCTACTTTTTAACAGGTGGAACTTGGAATTTTACTTCTGCTAACTCTGGCCCCCAGAGAGACCAGGGACAGACCACAGAGGAGGGAGCAGAGCTGGGGGCCTGGGCTCCGGGTGGGACAGCCACCACTCCAGGACCAAACCTATCAGGCTCAGTGCGCTTCTTGGATAAATGAGTTAAGAATTCCCTCTGAATGCCTGGCTGGTGTGGCTAAGTGGTTGAGCGTCATCCTATGAACCAGGAGGTCAGGGTTCGATTCCAGTTCAGGGCAAATATCCGGATTGCAGGCTCAATCCCAAGTGTGGGGAGTGCAGGAGGCAGCCAATCAATGATTCTCTGTCATCATTGATGTTTCTATCTCTCTGTCCCTCTCCTTTCCTCTCTGAAATAATATATATATATATATAAAGAATTCACTCTGAATCTCAGCTCTCTGCTGCCTTGTGTCTTGCAGCCGAACATCTAACTGCAGGGTCAGCTTGCCTCAGAGTCCTGGGAAAGGCACAACCTCCCCTTAGGCCTGGAAAGTTTTCTGGCACAATCAGCATTCAAGGGACACGAAGTCTCCCCTTTTGCAACAGGCTATTTCCAGCACACCATTAATTTCTCGAAACAGAAAGGAAATGCTCCCGGCATGTAAGATTTTTCCCACTCATCTGAAGTATTAGAAGCTGATATATTTTTTAAAAATCCCTGGGGCACTTTTATTCCCCCCCCCCCCCCCGCCACCCCCCTTTTGCAAGAATGTGCAAAACAATCAAAGTTTTGAAAGCCCAAAATATATTCCATGCTTCCTTCCCTCTGCACCATAGGCCTAAAGAGGAAGTCTCTATCTTGGCCAGGGGTCTTAGCTTTTCTGTTGCAAACGTGGATGTGGTGAGCCTGGTGGTGCTGTGTTTATGTGTGTTTCTGGCTCTGTCTCCGATGCTTCCTAGTCTGACGGCACCAACACAGGACCCTGCAAAGGGCTGGGCCGGGCCTCACCCCACCCCCAGGCTTCCTCCTGGGCCCTGGGACCACAAGGGCTTGGACACCACAGGACCGGATCTGGCTGGACTTTGAACTACTTTCGATCACCTCTCTCAGGGCCCCCATGTGGCTTTGTCCTCTTTTCCACAAGAGGATTTAGCAGGATGACATCAAAGCTCAGGGGATCTCAAGGGACTGTTCCGAGAAGAGATTTGGAGGGCTTGGAACAAAGCTGCCTTTCACGTATCAAAGCCACACAAGCATTGTAAGGCGTTTTCACTGGGAGGGCTCAGCCTTGCAGCAAAGCCCTGATTTTAACCTATGAGTCTCCCTCTAGTCAGGCAGTTAGTCACCCATCTTGGTCAGGGCAGAGAGCGCACAGGGAAGTGTTCCTGCCTGATTTCCCACCAGGGCATGCTATAGATTCTTCCCAGGGCATAACTTAAAAACTAAGATAGTCTTCATTTTAATGTAGTCCAATTTATCAAGTTTTTCTCTTATGATTTGTGTCCGATTAAGGAAATTTTTGCCTAGCCCAAGTCCAGAGAGATCTCCTGTTTTCTCCTATAAGCTTTATGGTTTCATCTTTCACTTTACTAGTACGCTTGTGGCCCATCTTGAATTAATTTTTGTGTGTGCTATGAGCAGAAGTCTAGGTTCATCCGCTTCCCCCAAAGGACATCCACTTGCCTTGGCATCATTTGCTGAAAAGACCATCCTTTTCCTATCCTATATAATAAAAGAATAATATGCAAATTGACCCTAGCAGCAGAATGACCAGGAACGACCAGTTGCTATGATGTGCACTGACCACCAGGGGGCAGATGCTCAACGCAGGAGCTGCTCCCTGGTGGTTAGTGCACTCTCACAGGGGACCTCTGTTTCGCCACAAGCCAGGCTGACAGCTGATGTCTGATTGTGACAGCTGAGGCCCGTTCTCCTGGGGAGTAGGGACATTCCTAAGCTGGCTGGTGGACATTCCCCGAGGGGTCCTGGGCTATGAGAGGGTGCAGGCTGGGCTGAGGGACTGCCCTGAATGCACAAATTTTTGTGCACTGGGCCTCTAGTTGAATTATAATGGTGCCTTTGTGGTAAATCTGTTAATCATACATGAGTGAGTCCACTTCTGGATTCTCCATTCTGTTCCACTGGTCTTGTGTCTATCCTTGCACCAACAATCATAGTATAAATTTAGAATGAATTGTATAAAAATTTAGCACTGAATAGAGGGGATCCATTATATTCATCTCCCTCTAATCTCCTCCTTATTCCAGGAAGCTGAACATTTGAGGAGGAAAAAGAATTATCTTATATAATAAAAGCATAATATGCAAATTGACGTGTTGGTTGGGGGTGGGGCCAGTGAGCAGTCAGCACCAGGCCAGATAAGGTGCATGCCAGCAGGCAGAGGGAGGGGATGGTGATTGGGGGGCAGCAGCAACCAGCGGCGGTGGAGGGACGATGGGGGGGGAGAAGGGAGCAGGGCTAGCTGGCCATCACCTGATTGGCCCACCCTGTCGCCTCCCACAGAGGGAGGCCAGACTGCAGCTTAGGCCCACTCCCTATGAGAACAGGCCTAAGCTCGAGGGCACAAATTTTCGTGCACTGGGCCTCTAGTTTTAAAATATTTAAACCCAGGAATACTTTCTTCTTTTTAAAAGAATAGTTTATTGATTTTCTTTTTTTTTTAGAGAGAGAGAGAGAGGAAGGGAGAAGAGAGAAACATCGATATGAGAGTGCAATGTTGATAGGCTGCCTCCTGCACACCCCCTACTGGGATCCAGCCCACAACCAGGGCATGTGCCCTGACCAAGAGTTGAACCAA